TCTGCGACGAAGTGAACGCGAGAAGTGTCTTGCGACCCTACGTACTAGTGCCAAATTTGCACACAGTGAGTTTATAGATTAAGTCTTACAGACCTTTGATATTCTGCTGTATAATGAAGACATATATTGTGACAGCTACACTTCTAGCAGATTCGTTGATCTACATGATTCAACTTGTTTCCTAAACAAAATCAGAACTGTCGCCCAGTTCTTTTATTTTCGTTATAGTTTTGCGACGCCTTCATGTCATCTAAGAAAACCTGAGCTGATAATATAAAGTTCAACAATCACACTTATTCATGAAATCTCAAAAATGCTTTCACTTTCCTTTTTCGGATGAATTTTTCAATGAAATTCATTTCTGTATGAATGAGAGAAAAAATCCAAGCACATGTTGATACCGCTCTTCGATCTATGATGCTGTCAACTTTTGCCAGTGAAATATTCTACAAAAATTTCAATCTTAGCAATTCCGAACCTGTTGCCACATGACGACTCATATCAATTCCATTAAGTTCCAGATTTCCGAATGGCACTTGTGCAACCGATCCCTACAGTAACATGGGTTTTGCTTCGGACTTTGCTTTTAACGATGCGACAATAAATTTTCTAGCAAAAACTATCACTTTCAATCTAGCGAGAATAGCCCCTTTGGCGCAATATTGAACATTGCGAAACTGGTCCCACGCACAGAACCCATCCCATCAAATTTCTAGCAATTCCGGAACTCCAACGAACACGATCAACAGGGAATTGCACGCAATTCCAGATTCTCTCCAAAATTGAGTTATCCTCCATTATTTGTTATTCGGTACCTTCTCCTCTCGACTTGCACACAACGATACTAGTCGTCTCCACATCAGAATTCGCACAGACACCCACACCCACACCAACATTCCCATAACCACTACTCTATTTTAGGCGGCTGCACTGACAACAACGGTGGATGTGATCCAAACGCCACTTGCTCGCATGATGCTACGACAAATGCAGTAGATTGCACCTGTAAAACAGGGTACACCAACACTGGTAGCTCCGTCAACGTTGTATGCACAGGTATTATGATGTCTGGCAGAACGTTAAACATTTCCTCACCACATCTCTCTTTCCAGATAGTTGCACTGTCAACAATGGAGATTGTGGTGCAAACGCCACTTGCTCATATAATGCTACGACAAATGCAGTAAAATGCACCTGTAAAGCTGGTTATACGAACGCTGGTAGCTCCGTGAACGTTGTATGTAAAGGTATTATGATGTCTGGCAGAACGTTAAACTTTTCCTCACCACATCTCTCTTTCCAGACAGTTGCACTGTCAACAATGGTGGATGTGGTGCAGACGCCGCTTGCTCATATAGTGCTACGACAAATTCAGTGAAATGCACCTGTACAAATGGTTATATCTACGCGGTATCGGCATCGAAAAATATACGCACAGGTACTATATCGGACTCGTAGAAGCAGAAATATTGTGTTGTATTGGGTTCTTCATCAATTCATCTATGAAATTAATTCTCCTTTTACTCTCATAATGCAGGTTTCTCCTAAGAATCATCAGATTGTCTTTCGCTCCTTAACTACTTTTTCCTTTGCATATAAGCACGGAAGTCGCCTGTAAGCAAAGTGTATTAGTATGAAATAAGGAGAATCAGTTATAGCTGGAAAAATCGCAGTCTACTATTTTCCCTTCAAAGCAACTGAAGAAATTTCATAACTTACTTGATGAAATTGGGTATGATTCTGAAAACTATAATGGCCTGTGATTGAATTTCAGAATTAGTCAAAGTGTTCTTCTACCGATCAGGTTGTTTTCCCCTAAAAAACGGTGTTGGTGATCCGTAAATTAAGAACTGAAACTAGATGGTATTCGAGTTTCACTCGTACACGAAATGCGATGCGAAGCAAGAATCCGTATATCGTACGAAAAATCTTCAATTGATAGGTATTAAATAGTTTTTGTATAGCCATAATGCAATTTATCACTGAGAAAACTATTTTTAACTGGCGATCTATTTTTCAGGGTCAATTTCGATCGATCGATTAATTATCTCCATGATTGAGTATGGGTATAGATTAGCAGAAGAATCACACCCACACTTCAGCGCGATAGAGAGAGAGAGATCTCCTTTTATTCTTATGTTTTCTCTTCTAGTTAATATTTCTGCTAATGCTATATGGGCACAGAACGGTGTCGCTGTTGCTGGAGGTAGCGGGGGAGGGGACGCGACTAATCAACTAAACTCACCTCGTGGCCTCTTCGTTGGTGATGATCAAACAGTGGTTATTGCTGACTTTGGGAATAATCGTATCATGCAATTGAAGAACGGTGATACAACGAATGGACTAATTGTTGCTGGTGGCAATGGCCAAGGAAGTGGATTAAATCAATTGAATAGTCCAACTGATGTGTTAATTGACAAAGAGACGGATAGTCTCATTATTTGCGATGGGGGGAATCAACGAGTTGTACGATGGTCTCGCCGTAGTGGCACAACAAAAGGTGAAATACTCATCAGCAACATCGATTGTCATGCATTAGCAATGGATGAACAAAGATATCTCTACGTCTCTGACTGGAAAAATGATGAAGTAAGACGATATCAAGGGTGTGATAAGATTGGCATTCTCGTGGCTGGTGGTAATGGAAGAGGTACTGGACTCAATCAACTCAACTTTCCGGCATATCTCTTTATCGATCGACAACAGAGTGTCTACGTATCAGAGTGGCAAAATCATCGTGTAATGAAATGGAATAAAGGTGCAAAAGAAGGTATTGTAATCGCTGGAGGACAAGGCGCAGGGAGTTCTCTGACACAATTAAATGGGCCTCTCGGAATCATCGTTGATACGTTGGGTGCACTCTACGTAGCAGACGACTGGAATAATCGTGTAATGCGTTGGACTCAAGGAGCAACACAAGGCACTGTAATTGCGGGTGGAAATGGTCAAGGAGCAGGAGCAAATCAGTTCTACCTGGTCGTTGGTTTGTCTTTCGACCGATATAGTAATCTCTATGTGGCCGATTACAATAATCACCGTGTTCAACGATTTTCTATCGAATAAGACCTGTGAAATTGTTTTTTCTTTGTTCGTTTCTTTTTCTTTACCTTGAGACGAATGAACAAAAAAAACAATTTTCCTTTTACCCTTTCACTTCAACGAAAAGAAAAAAGCTAAATAAAAGATTACATCATGTGTTTCTTTTCTTGTTCTTTTATTTATTTGTTAAAATGAAAAGAAATGAATTAAATAAAAGAATTGGTTTTTTTTCACAAAATATTTATTCTTGACATGAAAATTAATTTGTTACTTCGAAAATATTTTATTCCTGAAAAGAAAATTTGAATTATTTAAATGAAAAAAATAATTCGTATTATTTAAACAAAATATTTAAGATTTAAATGGAAAATAAAAATTTTCAGTTATTTTGAAAACATTTATTATTTGAATGAAAATAAAATTTGTATTATTTTTATTTAAATGAAAAAACGTTTTCAGTTATTTTAAATTATTTGCTTCAAAAATAAAAAGTTACAATAAAATAAAAAACTACACGAGAATACTATGTACTTCCATTTGTTTTGGTTTTTATTGAATTGTTTGGAACTAAAATATAAAAATATCGAATAATTTTATTTATTGGAATGAGACAATTAGTTTAATTTTGTGTTGTTCCGTTTGAAGTTGAACTAAAAGAATAGAAAAGCAATATTATACTTGAGGGATGATGAAATTGAAATGAGCTAAAACGGAATAAGAAAATAAGAATTGATTGGAATGAAAATTTTTGCTTACCAGGTAATTGTTGCTCGTGCGACCAAGAACTACCTTGGTGGTGCCATAGAGAGGCGAGCCTCTTCACGCACTAGCATAGAACTAGCGTGTATATCACATACCTCAGGAAGAACTATATAGCGGCCTGTACGTGCTATGGGCACCAAAGTAATCTTGGGACTCCCCCCGGTAGGACATAGGACGTAGGACACCCATCACCAATATATAATATTAAGTATTGAAAAATATACTTACATTTTACGTACAACTAAATTGGAGAAAAAAGGATTAGCAGCTGAAACGAAAAAATTATTATTATTATTATATAAAATTAAAATATTAAACAATTGGGGTAAAAGGGTGAAGCAACGCAAAAAAATGAAACTATACTTACCTGTGATGTTGATAATTGTATCGACGATCGCGAGCTAAAATAGTTAAAAAATAAAACATACATATTATAATATTATAAGGGAAGAAGAAGAAGAAGAAGAAAGGGGGAATGCTACTTTACCGTTGAAAATTGTGACTATTTTATAGTCACTTTTTGGGTGAATCGACATATTCAATTGATATTAGCTATCAATTGAATATTCGCTGATTGATCAACGTTGTGATAGTACTACAATTAGTAGCCATCGTCGAGTTAAATCAATTATGTTTTATCGAAACATATTGATGTACTCGAGACTAATTGATCGTTTGTGTTTCATCTGCATCGGTGCAGAATGAAACAGTCACAATCGCAATTGATCAAGAAACAAAAAGTAACATGACAGTCGATATAGTTTCGATTAAACTTTCTTCGTCTGTATTGAATATATTTATGAGTCCATGAAAAGTATTTCAAATTAGCAAGTTTATTTTTGAAATGACGAAAAAGAACACTTTTACAATTCATTATTGTTGACAGAAAAAAAAAGAAATCAATCTGAGCATGTCGAATAACGAATGATACAAATTCAATTTTGACAATACAAAGTTTAATTTAAATAAACACAAAAAGAGTTTTGTAATCTATCTCTGTTCAGAAGATGAATACAAACAAAAACACTCACACTCGTATTACAGTTATACAATATGTTCACATAAAATTCCTTACAAAAAAAAACTTATTGATAACTACAAGGTTAAAGAATATCTAATGTGGAAAAATTTGATTGTAAAAATTACCACCGAAGGACAGTTCAATCAGTCGTCCGAAACAGGGTAGTATAGATGCACGAGTAGATTGTTGAATTATTCAGTGTCATTTAACATAGAAGAGACAAAACTATATGACATTAGTCTCTCATTCTCATGATCTGGATTTGAATCAATTAGTTGATTTTCAATACTATCATTAAATTTAGCTATTTTTGTTTTCTCTTTAGGTTTTTTGGTAAATCTTCTTCAAATTATTTTACTAAATCTAGACAATGTACATTAATTTTATCTTCCGCAATATTATCCAAAAGATACTACTCTAGTTAAGAATTCGATACATTTGATGATTGAGAATACATATGAACTTGTTATTGCATGTAATCACTAGCTCGTTCTTTTAAAATAAAACTCCTGTAAATGATTAATTAAATTGAAAAATCACTGCAACATAATGAATCGATAATTTTATTAAATCTTATTGAAATATATTCATTGTTTTCTTGCAGTAGAAACTGTATTTACAGTACAATAGTAGGAATTGATGAAATGCTTTTCTTTTTATCATTTTGCCTGAAAAATACGACCGAATAAGCTACAAGTTAAGTTTTGAGTATTGATTTCAATAAACATATTTTTGACAATTTTCTTCTTTAAGCTCGATTTAATCAACTATTTGATAAGAATAATATTCATCGACAACAATGTCCTAGACTTGCTGAATACGTGCACGTTGGTGAATCTCACAGTGACATAAATGGAAGATTTACCTATAATACATTGGCTTGCCAATATGTTGTGCTGTAGGTCCACTTTCATTAGATTTTACAATACTAATAAAATACACTAACGGATATAGACTCAAAGGAAGCTAACCAATAGTAGTCCATGTAATTTACTATATCAGATTGGCAGTGTTCTATGTTCCAGAATAAATTGAATTACGTATTGTAATGTTGAGCATATTGTTTAGTTTTAACTGAACTCAATTGAAAAACAGTTGCTTGAATCTAAATTTTTCAGTTATATTTTTAAACGAATCATTTGCCGAATAAAAAAGAAAGCTTGTCCCCAATGAGAGCTAACGAAACAAAGAAGAACTTAATCTGAGTAAGCATGATAAACATATGATTCAGAGTACAAAAAGAAAACTATTCATAGAAAAATCAATGCGGTAACATGAAGAAATATTTTTATTTATTTATTTTTTTTATATATAGTTTATTGTGCCATTAATGGTTCACATATGCATAAAAAAAGAGAAATAAAGATCTGCGTTTGTAAAGAAAAGAAAGAGTGAGTAAGAAATAAAGTTTCCATTTTTTTTTTCGTATAACGGGGTGAGACATCATCAATTGACTTTGTTCCCCGTCTTCCTCCCTGAGAATAACACTTTACACAATGATAGGATAAAACACACTTATATAAAATAGAGCAAACGATTTACTTTAACGCTTAAAAAAATACATTTAAAAAGAACATTTGTTATGGGCATTTAACATTATCAAAGACCTGTAATAATCACGTACGGGATCAAACAGAAAATTAGAAAAGGAGAAAATTATAAGAAGAGGAGAGAAGAAAAGAAGAAAAAAGAAAGAAGAAAAGAAAAGAAAGAAGAAATTGTAAGAGGTACACCTTTTACGATAAATGAAATTTTTATTTTGCCGGTTTTCACGTATTTTTCAAAATGTAAGGGCTCGTGTAGATATTTCTTTCGTTTATTTTACATACGTACTATTGATTGCATATAAAATATTTGAATACAAATAAGTTTATGAGGGATGTGTCTTTCTTATAGTAATTTATTTGCTGTTTATGGATTTCTTTAAAATCTTGCCATTCCTTTAGCGAGTGTTTTACTCTGTTTATTAATCTATTAGGGAAGATACTTCTCCTGTTAAAGCCCATCGATTTAAACCAACTCTTATCTGTTGTTATTATTCGGTATGTTTGCCATGTTTGCTGAAATAACATGGCGTCTGGTGACGTCATGAGATGTAAACTAAATCTGTTCCAGTAAGAGTGTAGGTGGTCCAGTAACGATTGTTCTTGACTTAATACGAGTATAGATATGTCGTCCCACTTTTGAAGTGAGTATACGATTCTAATGCCCGTGCAATATACATGTTCTATATATCTTTGTTGCTTGTCCGTGTATAGGAACCACGTAGAGAACAGCCAAGCAAAGTGTGGCATTGCAAATGCCGAGAATATCCTTTTTCTCATCTTACAGTTATTTCTAGGAATCGTACGAAAAACGTGTTTCATTCCTTGGTATATTTTTCGTATTTTGCTTATTCTTTCACTTATGAATGGACTCCATCCTAGTTTAGTCGCTATTGTTACCCCTAAGTACTTGAATTTTTTCACGTATTCAATCGACACACCTCTAAACTCAAGTTTTGGTCTTGCCGGTGCAACTACTGCGTGCACTAACAGTGCCTTTGTTTTCACAACATTTACGGGGAGTATATTGTCATCTGCAAATTTTCCTAAACGTTCTAGTGTTAACCTGGCCCTTATTTCTAATTCAGTTATATTTTCAGAAAAACGCTTTTCCAAATCTCCTGAGATCTGGATAGCGAGGTCATCAGCAAACAAATGAGAGGCCATTGCGAGAAATCTTGATGGTAGAAAGTGTATATGAAGTCGGAATAGCGTTGCTGCGAGTACTGACCCTTGCGGTGCTCCTACATGCATTTGAATTACTCTCGAAGTGTTTTCACCATAGTGTATTTCCAGTGTGCGCTCCTGTAACCAATTATATATCCATTTGAGTAGTGAGTTTGGCAGCCCCAGGCTTTTTAGATTGGAGATCAATGCTGGGTACCACATTTTGTCGAAAGCACTTAAAAAGTCTACGAACAATACTAGCGCAGGCCGGTTGCAAGCTGTTACTGTTATTCTTAGATCCTCTACTAGGGATAAAATTCTTGTTTGTAACCTCCTTCCCGCTGTGAATCCACTTTGTTCATCAGTGTACATATTGTTTTCATTACACCATGATATTAATCTCTGGTGTACTATCCTTTCCATCCATTTACCTATATTAGGTAACAGAGAGATTGGACGTAATTTGTTGATTGTAGGGTATAACCCCTCCTTCGATAAGCAAATTAACTTGGCATGTTTGGCCGATTTAAAAAATGTTCCTATTTCTGCGCATTTATTAAACAGTATCATGATAACACTTAAGTATTCAGGGGGTAGTTTTTTGAGTAAGAATGCAGAAGTATTTGCGCTGTCGGTGGATTTTTTCGGACGAAATTTTTTCCATTCTCTTATTACTTCTTCATATTTAATTTGTTCAAGGGGTAGATTCGGTAAGGAAGCTACTTCTTGGTACGTATTCACTGATTGTACATGAGTAGGATTGTTCATATCATGCTGCGGTGATGTAAAATGCTTTTCGTAGTAGTTCGCCAGCATCTCCACTATTACTTTATGTTCTGTTACTTTAATATTATCGTTTGTTGTTAGTCCTCTAAAAGGTGGTGTAAAAGTGTGAAATATTGGTTTGACGTATTTCCATATATTATTGTTTACCTCCATCCACTGTAATTTATCCTCCTGTTTCTCTTGTAAATATTTATTTCTCTCCTCGATAAATATTTGTTTTATATATAGAAAGTTTTCTAGATGAGTGACAAGTTTTGATCGTCTGTATCTTCTTCTATATCTATTTACTTCTCTAGCTCTTGCGACTAAGAATGGTGGCCATGGTGTTCGATATTTCTCGACTTTTTCGTATGTACTACATCTATCCCATAGAGAAGATAAAAATAGAGAGAAGATTTCTATGAAGGTGTCTAGGTCGAGATTGTATACTAACGAGTTCCAGTAGTCAAAAAGAATTGATAGAAAAGAGGTAAATATGTTCCAGTTGGTTTTCTTAAAATAAGATCCTACATTTATACTGTAAGGTGATTGAAAAATTATGGGTCGATGGTCAGAAGAGCCTTCTTCGAGTACTTCTGTTTGCCAGCCACTTGCGTCATTTGTAATCCCAAAATCTATTATTGCTTCTGATCTACGAGACGTTGCTTTTCCTGGGTTGATAATTTCTACTCCTGAATTTTCGATCCATTGTGCTAATTGATTTCCGCTCGTATTGTTTTTAATACAGTTCCAGTCTACGTGCTTCGCATTAAAGTCTCCGCAAAAAATAAACGGATGATCTGTATATTTAGAAAGAAGATGGAATGGTGGATAGGAAGATGGTGGAACATATATAGCCCCCACTTTTATTATTTCACTATTTAGAAGCATTTCCATTACTAAAAAGTTTTCCTCCTTTTCTATTACTGTTAACTTCAATTTACTGTTGTATAAGATAGCTACTCCTCCATAGGAGTTACTACCACTTTGAGCTACGCCACTGTAATCCTGGAATGTAGGAAGATTTCTTGTGGCTGTTCCTACCCCTGTTAACATAAATAAATGTGGTCTATAGTTGTTTATAAGAATATCAATGTCTGTTATATGCATACTCAGTCCTTCTACATTATATACTATAAATGTTAAATTCTCTGATGAAACTGTTGGTCGTTCTTTCATCCAGCTCTTACACATACTAGATATAGAGATACGTGAATTCCATTCTATTAAAATTTCATTTATACGTTTTTTCTCATAAGGTGTACCTCTAAAAGAGTTAAGAACAGATAGAGGTTTACATGACGGTGAAAAGTGAAAGGTTTTACTGTTCATTTAAAGACATAAGTTCAATACCTTGCCGGAATAGATCGTTTGTTTTTTCAGTTAATGAGATGGTTGATCGTTGATGTTCAATTATTAAATCGTTGCGGTCGTTTAACATGTTAAGACCTTGCTCCAGAGTAAGTTGAAATGTTCTATATTCCTTTTGTAGATTCGAATCATTTGTACTGTTTATTGTTTTTGCTGTGCACATATGCATAGCTTTAAGAGAGTCTGCCACTATTGGAACAAGTTCGTTCACCACTGTGTAGATTTTGTTAATACTTTCATTTTGTTGGTTATTTTGTAGAACTAATAGATTCAGCATTGCACCGAGCTTTACTTTATAATTATTGTGTTTCGTTGTTAATTCGTTTTCTTTCCTCATAAATTCTTGTTTTAAGTGTTCGTAATCTTTTTGTAATACATCAATTTGTTTTATCATATCATCTTGGATTTTTGTTGTACATTCATTTATATTTGTTGTTAATGGCATTTGTTGTAGTGGTGGCCATGCATTTGTGTGTGCGGGATTGTGTACATATGGAGAAGCTGTATTTTTTATTATTGCATTACCTATAGTATTTTTACCACCGTTTCTGAATTCAACTGGGATAAATAATTGAACATTTTGCGGAAGTAATTCAGGTTTTTTTCTTAATACATCAATAAGATCTCGTCTATATTTAATTATTATAGGACATCGATAATCAGTGGCTAAATGATCTTCATTGCAATGATGACATTTTATGACACATTGTAGATGATCACCTTGTAATTTATTTAAACCGCAGCGACGACATTTATCATAAGTTTCATTGCATTGCTTCTTAATATGTCCGGGTTTGTTACATCTTGAGCATATGAGTATTTGAGGAGGAGCAAGGAATTCGTCAACCTCGATTAGATAACCACCTACTGATATATAGCCACTGTTCAATAATTTTCTAACTTCGTCTTTTGATGTTATATCAATTCGAATATGTCTCGATTTGGTCGTCATTGATCCTTTCATTTCTGCAATAAGAATTTTCGATTGACATATATCCGATATAGCTTCTTCAATTTCTTCCGTTGCAATCATGCTTGGAACAAATTTTAATATAATAGAATGTTGAGGTGGAAGATGAGTGGGTGGTATTGGATTTATAATTGTATTTAATATTTTTAATGGATAGTTGGAAGTATCCCATAGATAAACGAAAAGTTCGATTTCTTTGGTAAAACATAATAAAGAACCTTGCTTGTCAATGTACCATGTATCAAAACCAATTGGGCGATTATACAATTTATTTTGTTTAATAAAATCATTTTTCATTTGTGAGAAAAGTTCCTTTATTATATTGGATCCTTCCGTATGGTTTTTAACTGCTGGATTACATGATATTTTGAGTGGAGGAAGTTGATTACCTACTGCATATTGTAGAGCTTGATGAGTAACATTTCTTTGTGATTGATGCTGAGTGTCTATTTCTTCAATTAAATCACGTGTAACATTTTTTTTGTTTCTACTGCTTTGGTTTAATTCATAACTGTTTTGGTTTTCTTTTTGATATCTTTCATTTTGATTTCTTGAATTAAATATGATCATACTTCGACCGTTGTTGTTTCTTCTTTCGTTTTGTTTTTGTTCCGGATATGGTATTTGTTTCGTATTTTCATTTAATATATTCTGTTCTTCAGGATTAACTAATGAACGAGTTTTTTTATTTTTATTTTTATTTTGGACCATTTGGAATGAGTCTTGGTCCATTTCAATAATTTCATTTTCATTATCTTCGTGTCTTCTTCTTTTCGGGGTCATTTTAATATTATCTTGACCTTGATGCTGTTGTTTTTGTTTACGTTCATATTCTTCACTTAATTCCTTTAATTCAGTTCCTTCTGCTATTTTGTCTTTTTCCTTTGTTGACATATTATCATAAAAAGCATATGACATGATTGTTTAACCTTGATCAATGTAAATTAACGTAAATTAATAAATAGATGTTTGAACAATTAGTCTAATAGTATAATTGTTCAGTTAATCAATACAAATACAAATATAAATATAAATATATAATTTAATGTTTAGTAAGTTTATAAGATACACGTTGAGTGTAGCGCCATCACTATACACTCACAACGAGAGAGAGAGAAAAAAAAATTTTCGACCGCTCGTTACGTGTGCAGGGAGGGGAATGAAGAAATATTTATTCTAGCTATTAATTATTGAACAGGGTAATCATAGTGTATCGAGAAAAATCTTTGAGGAAATCGACTAAGAATGAATGAATCGTTCACTAGATAAAAAAAACACATATGATCTTTGGACAATCGGTAAAAGAATCGAAATTTAGCAAAATGAATCGAATTGGCTCAGTAATTAAGAAGGATTTTATTTTCTCTTATGAATAATGCTCAATAAAAAGTAATGATTAAGCAAAGTACCCTTAAACGATTATCGTTATGCGTAGTTCTCAGTGCTAGAGGTACCAAGTGATTCAATTGGACAAAATGATGATTCATGAAAGGATTTTAGTATTGTACACTTCAACAAAAATAGATAGACAGTATACAGAGTATTTCAATTGTGGATATCGTACTGCTAAAGAAATATCGTTAACGTAAGTGAAGCAATTCACCTTTGTTATATGACTCTCTAGCACTGAACATATCAGAGTAAATGGAATATGATTTTTAACAGCTACCAATTTATGATATCCAATGGTTCATCATCATTGAAATACGATGCAGATGAGCACCGACAAAGATTGCTGCTTATTACAAACTTCCCAAGAGGTAAATTATCTCTATGGATCTTATACATGTTGCGATGAAGAAAATGCGCAGGTTGATCGCAACATCGAGTTGCTAGAGCAACACTTTCATTTATAAATCAAGATAAATTGTGAGAGATTATGTTGAATAGAAAAACATTCACGTAACAAAAAACTCGACTGTTGATGTGCACTGATGTATGAAGTTAACAGACTCAATGTTTCATTCACAAGAAGGAACTACAACATGACTTTTGATAATCACCAGAAAAAGGAATCATGTGTCCAGGTGAAAAACTGTCATTTGAATTTTTCTGATCCCAAATCACTACTATTGTACAGATAATTTTAATCAATCAACTTGTTGACTATAACCATCTAAACCTTCACAACGTCGAGCACTGAGTAAACTACATTGAATATCTGCTGAAATAATGCGTGCTATGGGAATTGAGGATTTTATTGACCATTCAATAATAACGACACGGATATATTCAGGTCGTGGATCAATGGATTGATTAAACTAAATGATCAAATAAAACTTTTCGCATGTTAATTCAAATATATATATAAGGTGCCCAGGAGAATCATCCGGCCGTCTGAAAGGCCATCGGAAACGGCCTGAAACGGCTATAAAACGACATAAAACGGCATTAATTTTCACCCTATTTCGCCGTAATCCGTCAGCTCGTTTTACTGGCCATTTTTTTTTGCTAGAAAACGGCCATCGCTTTTAACACTATTCTCTTCGTTTTCCGAGCTGACGGAAAACGGCGCCGTTTTTTAACGTTTTACATCGTTTTTATGCCGTTTCAGGCCGTTTACGGGCCGTTTTCTTTCACCTGGGATATTATTTGGTACTGGTAAACCAGAATAAATCAATTGAATAAATCTATCGCAATGCGATTTACAAACTTTCGCATCGCGAAATAAAGTAAGGAGATTTCTACAGAATCCAGCCTTTTTGAGATTCGTTGAAGAATGAAGATATATATCTGGTAGAGTAAAATCATCGGAAAGATTAAAGCATTCATATAAGTTATCACTTGCTTGTTCATTTTTACTAATATCAATTTTATCATCACTTGCTTGTTCATCAAACGGAAATGAGACGGTATCAGTAGAAGAATGTATATTTTGTAATTCATAACTATGGACATCATTTTTATATAGATAATCAGAATCTAAATGATTGGAAATAGTATTCAAATTATTTTCATCTTGTGTATCTAAATGGTTCGAAGATAGAGTGGATAATTCAGCATGTGTTGTATCAAGAAGAACACGTCGAACATTGGTAAGTGCACGTCTTCGACTATTTCTCTTATTTAAGATTTTTCGCTGCTTTTGTTTGCATAATGCAAGCGGACTGAAAACATCGTAATCCATTAGAAAATTTTCTCATAAGATAAATCTAAAAAGAAAATTCAAAACTGAAGACGAAATTATTTAGACATATAATATTAATAAAACAAATGGAAGCTTATTGGATACTTATAAGGTATTTAGTTGAGAATGCTTTTCGATTTTTCTCGAATAGAGAAAAAAAATATAAGCTCGATTAAAGGTTGCTGTATTGAGATGGATACTACACCAATAAAATATTATGTTCTATCTTCTTAAACCCTACATGATAAAATAAAGTAATGAACGAAGTTACGCTAACAGTGTATATATATATCCGCCTTTTTTTCTTTCCTATTCTCTCTCACTCTCTCTCTCTCTTTCTCATCTACAGTCAATGTTCCTAATAAGAACAGATATTTTGGGTGTTTTAATAAATTAATTTTTAGGAAACTGAATCTCTGAAATAGTGTAATTCTTTTTATATATTTGAGTAGAATAATGTTTTCTTTAACAGACAATGAAAACAAAAAATAAAAATATCTCGAAAAATAAAAGAGTTCTTAGCGGTAGTTTAAGGATAATTGAATTTGTTCTTATTAGGAGCACTGATCCAAATAAGAACGACCAGCAAAAAAATGTTCCTAATAAGAACATTTTATGTTAAATACACGGAAAAAATATTTCTACCAACAAATAAAGTTTTCTCATGCTTGAAGATGGAATTTTTCACGTGTGTCTGTTACCAAAAATGTTTCTTTGTTACTACCCAATAAAAATTCAGCGGTTCTAGTCATACAAATATTTTATTACTTTATTGCGGTTATATCAGTGATCTTGAATAACAATGAATTGTTTTTATACATATACAAATAATTCTTCATGTATTTACATGTACTCTTCGGCTTAATTTTAGTATTTTTTATTTTCTCACATTCAAAAGGCGAATGAAATTATTTAATCTCATGGTAAACAATTTTCATCTGGAAAGTAATTATGTTTTTTAGATATATCGAGTATATGAATATTATATTATGAGCTTTATGATGATACGTAAACATGTATGGTTTGCCTTTGTCTAAACAGTTCTAGTATTTTGATAGTTAGAGCCATCTGTTCTCAATTTAAATAAAATAAGTTTGAAAATTGATTTGCTTTTAGGATAACATCAATAGTTTATAATTTCAACGTCTCTTCTCTTAAAATATATAATATGAATTAGAACAACTCAAGCTCACCATCACCTCTTCAAGTTACATTATTTACAACGAAAAATTATTTTGATTTTATGTTGAATCAAAAGATTTAAAATTCTTCATCTATAAAAATCAAATTATCGAATTACATCGATATTCAATCGATTTAAAATTCTTTAAAAGTTATTCTGTTGCATTTTATTCAGAAACAACAAATTAAAAGCTCACCTGAAGAAATCATTTGATTATAAGTTGAAATCAATATATATATATATATATAATTCCATAGTACATTAACCTGTTAAATTATATTAGAATATAGCTGCTTAAGAATTCAATTATAATTACATTGTTTGTATTGTAATAAAAAAAATATGTAAATATTAATCATTTTCATTTTTACGCTTTCTTTATAGTTATATACATATGAATCATGAAACGAGGAAACTATTCCAAAGAAGATTTTCTCAAAGCTGTTGATGAATATAAAAAAGGTGTTGCTTCTGCTCAAGTAACAGCTAAATATAATATACCGAGTAGTACAATACGTAACCATAAGTCAAATCCAACTCGAAAGATTGGAGGTGGACGTCCTACCATATTGAATAAAGATCAAGAACAGTATCTAGTTGAATTATTAAAAAATCTTGAAATAAATGGTGTCCGTTTAACGAAATCTGTGGTGAGAAAATTAGCTTCTGAATATGCTGAACATGTTACTGGTAAAGTATTTTAAATGTTTTTATGTTTCATAAAGTATTTCAATCAGCGACATGAATATTTTAATTAGGTAAATCTCTTGAACTCGGTCGGAAATGGTTGCTAAATTTTTTAACTCGATGGAAAAGTGAACTAAAATTAATTAGAGAGGAAAAAATTGAATCAGGTCGTCGCAATGATTTCACAGAAGATGTACGTCGCGGTTGGTTTGAAAAACTTGGTGGTATTCTTCGAACAAATAATTTAATAACAAAACCACATGCCATATTTAATTGTTGTGAAAGTGGTTTCAGTGATGAGACTTCTTGTAAGTATGAAATTTTCTTCAGTATATTATTTTTCCAAGTTAAAATACACAGAAATGATGTATTTTTTCTTTTAGGTGAATGGGTGATGGTGAGCCACGGGACGAAACATGCATACGAACAGTGTGGTGGAAGCGCGAAGAATTTTACGACAAGTTTAATTTGTGGCAATGCTGCCGGTGATATTTTACCTCCGTTTGTCATATATGCATCAAAAAATTTAAATCCACAATGGACTGTTGGTGGACCACCTGGCTCTAAATTTGCTTCATCTGAATCTGGATGGATTACGAAGTCCTTATTTGTTCAATGGTTTAAATGGTTTGTTGAATATACAAAGGATGTTAGTAAACCAATACTATTATTAATGGACAACCATGCTTGTCGTATAAGCATCGAAGTGGTCGAGGTGGCAAAAGAAAACCAGATATTATTGTTATTATTACCGCCTTCTTGTACACACGCTTTACAACTCTTGCATACAGTGACATTCAAGTAGGTTAACATAATTAATTCTTTTTATTTTTGAAACTAACATTTGTACAAGTTTCTCAAATGAGCACTTAATTAGAACATAAATATTTTAAAATTTTAGTTCTGCAAAGCAGTCATGGAAGTGAGTCGTAGCAAAATACCTTGTTCGAACTGGTCGTACAACCATTCGAAAAATCGACTTGCCATCATTATTCAATCAATTATATTCATCCGCATTTACACCTAAACAAGTAGTTGCTGGATTTTCACGTGCAGGTGTTTGGCCGTTCGACTCCAACGCGATGAAGGAAAACGTGGCAAGACAACCATTAGCAGCAAAACAACTCAATCAACAACCGTCACCATCAAAGTAATAAAACTCTAATAATTTATCAATTGAATATTTAGTCACCGTTGTTTTTTTTCTAATTTATCAGTTCAGCAAATCAATCAACATCTTCAACACAAGTTATTGCCGGTTCAATTAATCACGCTCCTGTTACAACATTATTTATTTCTCCATCATCATTACATCCGCATGATCAATATACGTCATATGTGGTGCCAGAATCAAATTATTATGATGATAATAATTTACCTTGTATTGTAAATGGAAATCATTCAAATTTTGCACCAACAACAGTACTAGAAACTAATTTACCAAGTACAACAAATCTTGATTCATCTTCAATCTCTAGTCATATAAAGTAAAAAATTTTTTCGTGCAAACGATGACGGAAGTCGAAACAAAATTATCATCGATACTATTTTTTTTTTCAAGAGACACTGCCCTACCACAAAACACAAACCGAAATTTGGATGCATCCTTTTCATCGTCTATCGATGCTTTTGATTTACTTAGGTTCGATATTTTCAGTAGAAATAAATAAATAATTTCATTAGTCCGTTTGTTATCTTCTTTTTAGTTTCCCATCATTTGACTCGAATGCAAGTTTTAATTCAAGTTTATTCAATAATTTCGATTTACAATCTGGTGAATTGAACAATTCACTTTTACCTATTGATAAAAAGTAAAAAAAAAACTTTAAGAAAATTATTTTATATATGAACACAGATTTTTAATGTATAATTTTTTATATTTAAGTTTGTCGTTTAACCAAATATCTGAATCGTTAGAAAACTTTTCCAAAGTACCAATACGTGATGTTATTTGGTATGACAATGATGGACAACGAATGTAAGAATAATAAAGATAGTCAGAAAAAATATTTCAATATGCTCCTTTTCTTAGTCTTGGATTTGATCCACTTACCTTACCAAAACCACTAGGTCAACACTCTGGTTATTCAAATGACGTTCTACAACCAAAAATGTCAGTGACTGATTTTGAAAAAGAGAGTAAGAAAAAGATTTTAAATCGTAAATTCTATTCATGTACTATCTTTGTCCTTATTAGATGATGAGAACAATCGAATGTATACCGAATTGCAAACAGTTACTATGCAACGTCTTGTGGCACCATTCGAGAGTTCACAACGTGCTCCAATAAATATTGATACAGAAATGATTAATCCAATACCATCAACACAACTAAGTTCTCCAAGTGCAGTACGTTCAATTGTTACTAATTTGATTCAACAACATATTCCTCCTCCATCTTCATCTTCGAACACAACGAAAAGAACAAGAGGAGAAGGCAAATATTGCGAAGAAATTACCTCGAGTAACAGATTAAATGATCTTAAAGAAAAATCATCCAAGTTAAGTTCGAAGAAACGATCAATTAAATCAACAACACAAACCAGTGAAACATCAGTTTTTGCTAGTGGTGATGATTTAGAAGTGACCAAGAAAAAAAAACGTAGAATTTAAAAAGAACTGAATGAAACTATAACTTCCTCACAAGCTACACGTGCTATTGCTACGGTGGAAATATTAACACCACGTAATGAAGATTCCAATGGATATAATATTATATCATCTATCAAAAATTAACAATAACATTATTCCAGTGACTTACGAATAGGTATTTATAAAAATTGCATATTATTTTTTTTCAGAGTTATTATAATTTCCTTCGTTATTCTTCTTACTAGATTGTTTATGCATACATCTGTTCAACAAGGTCCAACTGATGGCATTCTTTAATGTTATTTCTTTTTCTCTTCCAATTTCGAAAAGTATTTTTTTGTTTTTTTTATTTACAACTTTTTCTTCTTCTCATCATCATACTTCCTCTAATGTATATTGCTATCAGGTTTTTTCTTAATGATATTTTTCTGAACAAAGCACAGTAATATTCTCTACTTATGCAATTCATGTAAATGTTTTATGCTTGTGATATCTGAAACAGTAGTTGTTTTTCTTTAATATCGATTTCTATGAAATTTACCGCAATTTAACTCTTCTTGAACTTTAATATCGACCTACAGCATTTATTATAGAAAACAATTTGAAAAACTCAATAAAATAAAATGACTGGAAAGTAGTAAAATAATTGTATTCAATTGGAAACACTTCTTTATAATCAAATAGAAGTTTCTTTGAAATTCATCTATTACAGATGCTCTCATTGATTATGTCGAGCCATGAAAAATTCAAGATATCTCAACACGACATTAATAGATTCAAATATCGATTACTTTATAACAATAATGAACATGAGTTCACCACTAACTTCCACCTTTTCAGCTGAAACTAAAATCAAATGTTCCTGATATATTTTAACGTAGATGGTGGATTTGCTGTTAGTAATGAGTATTTCAAGTTCATACCATAGGTATGGTTTGGAAAGATTCATATGACTAGAACCGCTGGATTTTTATTGGGTAGTAACAAAGAAACATTTTTGGTAACAGACTCACATGAAAAATTCCATCTTCAAGCATGAGAAAACTTTATTTCGTGGTAGAAATATTTTTTCCGTGTATTTAACATAAAATGTTCTTATTAGGAACATTTTTTTGCTGGTCGTTCTTATTTGGATCAGTGCTGCTAATTAGAACAAAAAAGATATATTTTTTTAATTTAATAATTTTTATAATTTGATAGATAAAATCTGAACCTTGAGATAAATATCCTTTAGCTGATAAGGAAGAGTTTTTGTTATAGAAGTATATCAAAATTTTGAAGTACAGATAGGGAAAAGGACTGTTTAGTGACTTTTAAATTTTTTTGCTTGTTCTTCCATTGATGTTCTATTATTCAAACCCGATTAGCTAGTTTTCTAATTATCCTTGGTGACTATGAGTCTGTACAATGAGTGATGATATGCTATGTTTGTATTACAAGTATTTTTCTCATGAAAATAACAGATAGATAACTAAATTCAATCAGACGATCATAAACGACCGTATACGATCGCGCACGATGATGTACAACCGTAAACGACTGCTGTATAACTTCGTATACGGAGCAAATCACTTTCAATCCGTGTTACTCCGTATTTTTTCACGACCTTCGTATACGGAATCCGTTTCTCATCGTTTTCTACCGTATACAATAATCGTGTAGGGAGTCTGTATACGATTTCCGTTATTCATCGTATATCTCCGTAAACGATCGTTTACGATCGTGGATATTCGACCTGGGAGTTGTATCCGAATAAATATTTATACAAGGCGATGATAGTATTTATGTTTATTAGACAGTTTTCAAATAGTTTAGAAACTTTTATTGCATAGCATTTGTCGGAAAGTATTCCACAAAAGAGACTTACAAGTAACTATTTTGCTTAGGTGAAATTCCAGTTATTTTAAAGTGTATATCAGATTCTACTGCCTTTTTTGCTGTCACACTTCTTTTCTCTATACACAGTTTACGACAAAGTAAAATGCCAAATAAAAAGTCTTATAATTAAAAATTGAATGAAGACTTCAGATAATTTATTCGCACATTAGTTCGCGTTTTCTTTTGAATTCCACAAAAAAATCCTCAAATCACTATTGGCTATGATAAAAAACAAAGGTTTGAAGTTCTTATTATGAACACCTATCTTCGATTGTTTTTTATCTTCAATTTAGAATTTCTCTAAAATATAGTCAATTATTTTCAGCAGCAAAATATTTATTTGAAATTTCAATGTAGAAAAACACTTTTCTTTTCTTATGAGAGTAAATTCAAAGAAATAGTTTGTGAAAATTATATTGATAAGGATCAGCTATTGTTAATGTTACTAGATCGATAGATTTTTTTCAAATCTTAATAAAAATAAATGTGTTATATATTGATGATCTAATTAAATTAAATTAAAAGCATGGAGAACTATGATCGTTGTACCAGAGTTGAATACATATACATTAGAAGGATTATATACATACATCAGTGAATTAATTCGAATTATAGGCTACATCCAGTTACAGAAATCAAACAAAAATGCATCATCTGATTTAATTTGAGATGTCATATTGACATGAAGCCCATAAAGCATTGCCCGATCATTTATCTAAGAGAAGTTTAGTAAATCAAGCTGTTATAGACAATTGTTTTTGCTCACTAAGTTTTTAAGATTCTTCATTTCTGGCCGATAAATTAGTTTTTCAATTTGATCTACCCAGGTCAAAAGTCGGCAATCGCATTCTATCGGATACGTTTTAATCCGACGAAACCCGATTGTCGGACCCTATAGGATTCTGTTATCGGAATCCAGTCGGTTCCCTCCATTTCCGGCATCTGAGAACTCGGATCTTTTTTTCTAAGGAGCAGTCGAAAATGTCTGAATTTTTTGCAAATATTATATATAATTGTAATTATTTTCCTGTGCTACAAAACAAAAAGTCTCTGAGTTCAATTCAGTCTTTAGAGACATTAGTTCTACGAAAGAATAAATTGAACTAAATGTTTATTGTCGAAACTGCTTCGTCCTAAATTCGCTAACTCTCTCATTGAAGAACGAAAACAACAAAAGCAAAGGATAGACACTGCCGACGATAATAGCTTTAAGTGGCAATAGCATTTCATAAAATACTATTATTCTGCTTTCTTTTTATCCACGACAAAAAGCACTATTTTCTGATTAATTGAAACGCATTAGGAGTGCCGTGTATTCTTTTATTAACATTGACTTCGTTGAACACAAAGTGCTTGTACTGAAAAAGAAAGGTTAAGTGGTATTTTACTATATGCTTTAAAATGTTTTGTTCGCAAAAACGAAACGTTAAAAGAGTTTAGTATCATGTAGACTTTGTGTGAAACCTTTTCTGGCGTCGAAAAGCGAAAATATTTTGTAAAATACTCTTCAAATTTCATTTCAAAACGTGAGCATTAAAGTAAAAACACTTTCCCGAACTTCATTTCTTATATCATTAATTGTTTCACTGCTAGTCATATTCCACGTTGAGCAAAATATTTCCAATAAACAGTAGCCATAACAAATCGAAATGGTTGAAGTACTTAAGATTATCAAAAACAACGTACTGCACTGTAAGTTCTAGTCGCAATAAAACCTTGTCATACACGTTTTCTGTTGAGGAGTCCAAGTAATTGCATTCGCTTAAGCGAATGAGTTAAACACAGTTACTAGAATACTTTTGGCGTTGGATTAGGACACAAGTGTTAAGCTACAGAGATATATATGGAAAATGTGATAGTTTAAATTCAAGGGGATACTGTAGGCGGACAGATTAAGATTAATGGGTTAAGTTAGGTGACTAGGTATAGTTTAAGGAGTTAAGTTCCGTATGGACGTTTTTTTAGTGCAGATAACTTGTAGAACCTTCTTAAAAATCCGGCCTGATCCTGTCGGTTCCCTTTGTTTTTATTACATGATCCGATACGATCCACTCGGACCCATTTGTCCGAGCTGATCAGATTCTACGTGATTCTTTCCCAGTCATATGTTCGTCGGATTCCGGGTCACTGGATTCTGGGTTCGTTCCGACAGAATCCGATCGAATTGAGCCGGAAACTATCCAATTCCGACTTAATCCGACAAGATTCATTGGTCTGAACTCTCGACCTGCGTAAAATGTATTTTTACTTCTCAAGCAATAAGATTAGCTTCTTATTTTTTAAGTTTTGTTTATTGTGCTTTTTTTCATTTTTCTGGTGTCGTTCCTCAATTAGTATGTAAATCTTATAAATATTTATAATTTTTCTTCGGATGCCACATGAATCAACTATGAATCTTGAAGAAGCAATGCACATTCAATCATGAGACGATGCAAAGTCTCAGCCAGATTCACTCACGTGTAACATATGATATAGAATAACATAGACATCACTAAAACGAAATACTGAATCGAAATGAAAATAAAGAAACTTTGATCACTGTTTTAATTTGTACTTTTTTTTATAGAGTGCGACGGCTGCGCAAATACAAATACAATTTGTATTATGGAAAACTATATACCTGAACAACTCAGAATAAGTGGATCTGTATCATCGTGTACTATCATGTACTCTGACAATGTATCCAGGCTTGCCAAACCTCCTGATTTTTTATCATTCTCACCTGATTTTAGTAATTCTACCGTAGGCAATCAGTGACAACTTTAGCTTATAAAAAAAATTCAAGAATAGAAGAAGAAATGATAATCAGTGTTCAATAGACTTGGCAGTCAATACGAAAATACTTTGTTTTGTATAGTTTTTTTCAAATTAAAGTCTCTTAATTAAAAGAAATAATTTTACAAAGTTGTCAGCTGTTTTTATATTCAATGTCTTTGTTGGAGGATGAAATTATTGACATAGAAATGCCATCATCATCAGACAATGATCTTTCAAAATCATTCGAGCCAACACCTATAGACAAGGCTATTTGTAATCCACCAAAGACTACTTCGAATACAACAGTTACTAAAATATCATCACCATCATCATCAACATCAAGAGTAAATAAACATTATCAACCAAAATTTAAAAAAGAATGGTTGTCTAATTCGTTTTTTGCCACATTTTTACGTGAATACAAAGCCGATCAAACAAAAACTTTATGTATTACTTGTAATATACAATTTTCTATCCAAAACAGTGGACTTGGAGATATCAATCATCATATTCAAACAGAAAAACATCAAGATCGTATGAAGTATGTCGAAGCTAATCCATGTAAAACTTATCACTATCAATTCTACCATTAACACATTTTTGTATGTTTTTTAGAAAATAGAATTGATGTCGCATACAATGTAACAACAACTGAACTTAATAAATTGTGTGCTGTCGAAGGTGCCATGGTGTTTTATACTGTCAAGCATTCCCATAGTTATATTTTACACGCTTGTACAATCAATATAATAAAAAAATGTTTTCCTTATTCATCTACAGCAAAAAATATTACTTGTGATAAAACTAAAGTAAGGATAATATTGTTGAAATTAAATTATAGCTATGATAGTTCATATTTATAATCTAGGCTCGTGAAATAGCGTGTAATGTACTTGCACCATCATTAACTAGTTATATTGTTAATGAAATACGAAATGTTTCATTTTTTCAATTTGTTATGATGCTTCGAATAAAGGAAATGTCAAAATGGTTCCAATTGTGGTACAATTCTTTTCCAAAACTGGTGTAAAACATGGTATTCTAGAATTTATAGAACAAATGCATGAATCAGCTGATGACTTATTTGCAAATATAAAATACGTTTTGGAAGCAAATGAATTAAAATTGAATCAATTGGTTTCACTTGGATCTGATAATACTAATGTAAATGTTGGTAATCATCACAGTGTGTTTGCTTTATTCGAAAAACTTTTACCTGGTTTAATAAAAGGTAAAAAAGATTCTAATATCAAAATTTCGATTAGTCATTCTATAACTATTCTCTTAGTCTAGGAACTTGTTACTGTCATGTGTTGCACAATTCAGTCAAGCATGGAAATGAACATTTGTTGTTTGATATTGAAGCCGCATTGTTAAAAATATATTCTCATTTTTGCAGATCATCTGTTCGTTCACAAGAATTAACAAACTATTTTGATTTTATTGAGTAAGAACAAAAAGTAACTAGTCGTATTCTAATTTCAAATATTTTGAAGATATAACGTCTTCAATTTAGGTTATTATTAAACATATTAGATTGAGATGGTTGAGTCTTTTGCGATCTATCGAACGTCTTATTAGTATTCATACAATTGTTAAAAGTTATTTTTTGAATCTGACGAATGATGATTGTCCAGAGTTATTGTTGGAATTTTTCACATCAGATAAAAGTAATGAATTCAGTATGAAAACATACATATATATGCAAATACTAATTTATCTTTTTCTCATAGGTGAATGTACATTATACTTTTTGGCAAAATTAACAGAAGTACAAAATGCAAATTTATTATTACAACGACACTATACAACTGGTGTTAGTATATATAACATTATTACAAACTTACTTCGTAAATTAAAGAATCGTTTACAAGATGATTTGTTTTGGTTATAAAGTTGCTGAATTACTTGAAAATTGTCCAATTAGACGAGCTGATGATTTAAAAAAGTCATTTAGATTATTTGTCCATTCAGTTATTGATTATATTGAAAAATATTATAATAATTATAAATCACTTTGCCAATCTATCTCTATTTTCGATGAAGTTCATATCGAACAAGTTGAATGGAAATCTGCTCAACAATGTTCTGCTTTTGTTGTCAATCAAACAATTGATCTTGATGGTTTATAATTATAATGATTTTAATCATATAAAATCAAAATATATTGATATAAAAGAAAGATTTGATGGAATTAGTAAACAAGTAGAATCATTTATTCTATCGAATTTAGGTCGATCAAATTATAATGGAACGTCAGTTAATCATGAAACAAGCTCATGTGATGATTGTAATATTCAAGATAATCTTGATGACAGTGATGTTAGCAATGATGAGCCTGATGTGAAAAATAAACATAAGAAAACAAATAAATCAATTCGACCTGATCATTTATGGGCTTATTTACTTGATGGTGAACATGTACCTAGTTTACGAAAATTAGTTGAGTTTGTATTTGCCATTCCTGGATCAAATGCTTTTTGTGAATCAGTCTTTAGTCATAAGAAATACTTATGGCATAATAACAGAACCAAGATGAAGCACGATTTAGTTGGAGCCGAATTAAAAATTAAAATAAACACTGATTTAACGTGTACAGAGTTTTATGATTATCTTTTAACTAAACTAAATATACTCCACAAAATTCGGTCGTCAGATAAATACAGTCAAATAGCAAAAATGACACGAATTTATCAATAAATAATGGATTATATATTTTTCTAATTTAAATATTTTGTTTTCTATTAATCGAGATGTTAATTTTGATTTTCTATTTGTTTTTGTTTTTCAAATGATTATTGATAAAATAAATATAGAAATAAACTTCGAGAAAATATCATTTCGCTTACTTTTTATTTAGTTATATGAAACTCTTTTATCATAAATTTGATATGGAGGATTAAAACATTTTCATATTCATACAGATACAACAAGTCACACGTTAAATCTTATCTAATAAGAGCCATGTAATAGCTATTGGATATCTAAAGAAAACCCCCTGATTTTTCTTCTGATTTAGAAAAGAAATTCTCCTGATACACTCCTGTTTTTTTTTCTAAAAAATCCCTGGCTTCTGGAATTTGGATTTGGCAAGCCTGAATGTATCCAACAAATGCTAGAATAGGTGGGTATTTACTACCATGTATTATCATATATACAAAAAAAGCGAGAAGGGTGTGGGTGTGTTGATTATTATTAAGAGCAGCACCTCACACCCGCACTCACACCCAATTTGTATTTGCGCATCTTTGTAAAGTACTTATTTAGTAACTGCTATATGATCTAATCTCATATTAAATCAATAATTCTAATCTATATTTCTCATGAATCATGTATGTTATTTAGCTGGCAATGGATTTCATAGAATCGTTTTTCTTTGTGTTAAAATCATTTTAAATAAGTATTAGCTTGTGAAATTCGTCGATATGTAATTGTGTATCTTTTCATAGGCTTGCTTCCATAATTCTGATTATACGATTTCATCTAATCCTCTGGATCTCATAAAAAATCACGTAGATTTTTTCAAAATTACGTTATAATTCAACAATTAACCCTTTTATTTCAAATGAGAGTGAAGAGTCATACTCAAAGCATAGATCTAACAGATACAATGTATATATATATGTAATACAGTATGAACAGTTTTCTTTTCCTGAGTCTACCTTTTTAAGTAACAGGAACATGTGTAGGAAGTAGAATTTTGTTTTTCGTTTGTTATTTTATTCACAATGTGAGTATGTCCATTGCAAACAGTAGAACAAAAAAAATCGATCTCACGACGGTTATTTATTTTGTTCGTTCTTGTTTAGAAAAAAAAGATATGTATGGCATCAGGTACTCATGCTCTAATAACACTCAAGCCTTTACATAGACGAAAATCAAATAAAAATTGTAAAGAATAATATTAGAATAAATGGCGTTGTTCGGTTTTTTTCTTACTTACTGTTTGTTTACCTTCACTCAACTTTTTATTGTAGCTTAGTTCAATTTTTGGTGAAATATCGATAGCTGCAAATCTAACTGTTCTTGGTTTCCTACGAACTGTTGCTCTTTCTGATTTAAAGGTTCAAACTAATTTATTTTCTCAAGACAAGCGTCTGCTAAAAACTCAGATATTATGTGTTGTAGCGCTTAAAGAACATATATTCTGATCTTCACTAAGCTGATGATTTCGTATCTTTAAATATATAATCTCTCGTTTATGACTTTGGAGAAATTGAAAACTGATGTACTAAGTTGTTCATCTAGAACTTTAACTGCATTATCTACATGTTTGTACATGTAGTCGTCTATAATTTGACTTATAAAAATTGTTTTATCCTAATTTTGATTTTTGAATCTGTCTTCGTTCTATTTCTTATAGTTATATTATCCAATACGCGTTGTGTGGAGTCTATAGAAATTATAAAAATTAAAATAGATTTCTTTTTCGTCAAAAAATAAGAATACTAGAAAAGTAATTTTTTTAATAAATAACTATGAAATGAATCCACTGGAATGCCTGCATCTGTATTAATTCATCGTTTTATTACATGCGAGATATTAACACGAAGCAAAGACAAACAGGTCTTGATAAATTTCTTTGTTTAAATATTCTCACTTCATATTTTCACTTACTGTTCGNGTGTCATAGACGAAAATATCTCTAAAATATCCAGTGAAAGATCATATATACGTTATACTTATCAAATTTCAAAAATAAGATTGAGTCAATAAAGAAAATTTTACTACCTAATCAGTGGCAGAGTTTACATGAATTTTTATATGAAATTTGTCCTATAATAGATTGATAGACACCAAATTGTTGTTATTCTGATGAAAATTTAATCTTTCTGTTTGTCTTCATCTATTTTTGGAGAATTAATTCATTTTCGTAATCAAAAATAACCGAGATCTTTTTCTCACCAGAACGAAAATTGCAAAGAATAATAATACAAGAAATGGCGTTGTTGGAATTATTCTTCTTTCGTTCATTTGTTTGCTAAAAAAAATATTCTCAAGGACGAAATTTTTAGATTTGAGAGACTCCACTGATTAGCATGCATTAATAATACGCTTCTTCGACGTGATGATTTATCTCACTCGTTAATACTTTGCCTCTTATTATTATTAGTTGCTGTAGACATTAACTTGTGAAAGTCGCAAACAACGTTTATTTCGAATTCATTATAACTCTATTGATATTCTCCGATAGTATCATGTAAATTGTTGGATTCAATAATGTATTGTAAAAGTACTCTAACTTCATATTTTCATTCATTACACACATACAGAAGCGAAAAAATCCGAATAAATAGCTTTGCCAAATATTCGTTCGTTAACGATGGGTTTTTCTTTGTCTGGAGTGATTTATTTTTCTTAATAATAATGTGCACTAATAAAATTCACTGTTGCTCGTCATATCTCATATAGAAAAGTTGTTGGTAATCTTTATAAGTAAATAGCAAATGCTAGTTGATATTGTGACTGTTCAATGTGGTGAAAAACAATTCGAATATAGTTTTTTGACATATATAAAATGGAATTTGTTTTTCATAATTTTATGCATCGTCAAGATTGAACTAGTCTCTATAAAACCTGAGGATGTTTTTATTTGTGTTGATTTTCTAATTCATAGGTTTATTTTTTGAGGAGCCGTAAAATCAAAATTTCTGCTTGAAAAATAATTGTAAAGTAAATGCACTTTTTCCTTCACTATGTTTTTTTGGATAATTTTCCGTAGCATTGTAAATTGAATGTTGAGCTAATAAAGAGATTCACATTCATAATGAAAAACCAAATGAATGAATGAATGAATAGATGAAATCTTAGAAGTTTTTTCGTTCTTACCAAAAAGAGAAGAATAAACAATGAGGTAGACGAGACATCAAATATAATGTCACTTGAGTTTTCATTTAGATGAAAAAACAAATCGAAGTTGAAAGGAATAGTAATGTTGGAATTTTTTTGTTCGTTCTTTTGTTTACTGTCTACTGTGTAACGATACGAATGTTTTATCGTAATATCGAACTGTTTTATTTCAATCATCCTTCTCCTTTTATAGTAACACTTTCTTTCTCCGGGGCGCGTCACTCAACCGGAGAGAACGAAAAAAAACACGGCAAAGAGAAAAAGAGAATACACATGACAATGAGGAGAAAGTCATTATGTACATTGATTAGGATAGAACGAGTGCTTATATCGTCACATACTGTATTTTCAATTTTGAAGCCAGGCGACGTTTCTTGTTGTGTCAACAAGACAAAAAACACTCAGATTATATGTCGCCGAAAAATCGAGAAAAAGAAAGAAAAGGTATCGACTATAGAAATACACTGAAAAGAAAAGTTCCATATGGAACTTAAAAAAGGTTCCGAGATTTCCAGCGAAATCTAAACCTTTTCTCGGTTTCGTATAAATATGGTTTCGTACGGAACCGTTACCAGTTATTATTCAAAATGGTTTCGTAGCTCAAATAACCTCTCGATTCGAATACAATGCCTTTGCGTTTTCACCAATACTACCATTCACGCTTCCATTACAATTCCAGCAACTATCCCTTTGTTAACCAGTTTATTCCTTAATTTATATCTTAACTTTTAAATGTATACCCTGTGTTAACCTCTTTCTCTACATCTAGCCCTTAATCTGCATCGTTATTCTATATCTAACCCTTAATATATATATCCTTAATTTATATTCTTATTCTATATATAACCCTTAACCTATATCTAAATGGTTCACCGTTTAGATTTTTGTTTTACAATAATCAAGAGCAGTGTGTGGATATGTATAATCGTCAACTAATAAAAAAAGACCGATTCACACCCTCAACAATCAGCAAAGTATTTTCATCTCTTCAAACTCACAATTGTCTTTTTATCTGTTCGGATTGACCTAAAATGACAAAAATTCTAATATCATCATTGTACTTACCAATGATACATTTGGTTGTGAAAAATCTAAATAAAAAAAAAGAAATTTCATTAGTTACATATACTTACAATTGTTTCTTTCTCTGTTTAAATTCACCTAAAACGAGAAAAATTCTAATATTATCATTGTACTTACCAATGATTCAGTTTGTTGTGATAAATTAAAATAGACACTATATGTTTCTATTATTTTTTTGATAGTAATCGGCTTTTGTCGGTTGTGATTCGGTGATTGTAAAGCGAAAAAACATGTTTGTTATTATGATAGTTACCGTGGATTTATTTCATGATATAAGAGCGGGAAAAAATCGTTTGTGTGTTTGGTATTCCTAATGTGAATCTTGTTAATGGAGCATACTTGTGCAAGTTAGATGATTCACTTCAAATTACGTTTCTCTGTATTTTGTTTCGAATTCTATCTCTACGGTCGTATAGCTGATAATTGTTTCATGAGATAACGCTTATTTTCCGGCCGATGTAGTTATGGCATAACTTATTCTATAGGTTTATTGTTTTTCAAGGCAAATGCAATGTAAAATTCGTACAGAAAACGGTAACGAGTAAATATATAAGTAAAAGAGTATCTAAGAAACAGCGGACAATGTGAAAAATAGTTTTTGAAGCATTTTCTACTAGAAGTGTCTCAGTTATAAAAGAAAACTTCAAGCTGGAAACCTTTATATATATTTATATAAGAAAATATATCATTAAACGGTTCATCTTAGATATGTGCAGAAGATTATGTTAGTCACATAAAATACAATACAGTCGTTTCAGCTTTAACAA